TATAAGGTTTGTCTAGTGTGTGAAGGAAGAGAGTATAAAGAAGCCAACTTGAGAACTTGTTGCACCAGTACATACAGGAAAATGTAACTGGTAATGATGTGTCATAAAAAGATGAGATCTAATATAGTATGAAGGAGGGTTTAAAACACCACCACCTGGAGGAATGTATAAATGTGGCGAATACTTTTTGGAACTGGACGAGTTTAAAGCAGCAATTGCAGTTACTGCATCACCAATACTAGAACCATCACTAACAATAACAATGACAAGGACATCACAAGTAACACAAACAACAACAGAGGCGGGGCCAACAACAATGTCAACAATAACAAGGACAACAACACAAACAAGAATATTGACAACAACAATAGTAACGGCAACAAATGCTCCAACAGTGACCACAACAATAAGAATAACAGTAACAGCAACACCAACAAGTGGGGGTATGGAGTCTGGTCAAGGCAAGTATTCCACAGGGTATATTATTGCTATTGCAATCGTATCTCTGTTTCTAGCAGTGCAGCTGTAATGGTGCTGATACTACTGACCTGAGAATATAACTCAAACTAATCTAATAGTAGTAGTAGCATTAGTATAATAGAGTGTGTGTAAGTAGTACACATACATACATACACATAGTTATTGGGTGCATATTGTAATGTATAATGAACATTATTATTGCATTATGTTGTAGCAAGAGTGTATTAGTTCCTATGTGTATGGTTCCTTTGTAGTGAGAGTTTAATTCAAAAAATAACTTAATTAAAGATTATCAGATCAGTCTGGAGGAGAGGAAATTAAGGAGATAAAGCAAGGCAGGAGTAGAGTATATTGTCAATGAGTGACAATGTCAACGTTGAAGAATAATACTACCTTGAACTGAAGAACAATAAAGCACATACTGCACCTCAAGTTATTGAACAATGACCATTTAGCAAATTTAAAAAAAAAAGCGAAGACTGCGGTCTGTTTCAAAAAATGGCTCCAAAATCACCCTAAATTTTTATTACATTTTCTGATACAAATTGATGCCATTATGCTGTGTAGAATGTTTGAGCTGATTCCAACCAAATTTTGAGTTGAGGACCAAACAAGTGTTAGAGTTACGAAATGAAAGTATCATTTTGTAACTCTATTACTACACTACTATTACTATACTATAAAATGTACTATTACTATAAAATGTTTTTGGATCAGTGTTAGATGAATTCCTTAGATTGTATTGTTAAAATGAGTACAATGTACACATAGTGATTGGGCTTTGTTGATCATAAATTGTGAAAGACTATAAATTTTTGTGCATCATACCTGATGACAAAATGTGTTTTGTCAATTGCTCCAATAACACTATTATAGTCCTGATAAAAATTACAATTTTGATGATTATGTACTTTCTTTTGTTATGCAAGAGATGATAAATCTGAAGTGTCACTGCCTATATTGTAAAAAATAAATCACATCAGACTTTATTATTAGTTTCACCTTTATTAAATGAGATGCAATCTATCTTTAAAGGAGTCCTGACCTTTATTTATATGACAAGGAAAGAAAACAGTTTTTTATGCAGAAAAACTAGTTTTGAGTCTCTGGAGATTTTACCTTGAGAGCTGGAGCAGCTGAAATAGACTTGCTAACAGGAACACAGATAAATTGACTCATATACCCTTGCCTAAATGCCTACGCATGGCAAGGTAATAATCACAAGTGAAACAACAGTCATCTCAGCTATTCCAATTAATACACCTATCTAAAGATGTACTGGCTGGTGTACTTGACTCCATATAGCTAAAACTTGACTTATAACTGAATACTATTAATGAGA